AGCAGCAGGAGGGAGCTGAGGCTCCAGCGGTGCCGGCCAGAGGACATGTCCCCCGGCTGCTGGGCACCAGCCCCAGCAGAGGAACTGAAACAGGAACTCTGGCCGGTCACCACGCCTCCGGGTCACCGTCGGACCCACGGGCTCCTGTCCCTCGCCTGGTGTTGCAGCAAAAAGGACCAAAGCGTGGGGACCAGCACAGATGCAGATGGGATCGCCACAAGCTCTACAACCACACAGGGTCAGGGTTTGTCATTTTTCCAATATTAATTCCTCGCACCTTCTGCCACCGCGTGGCCAAGGGAAGAATGAAAAATAAGAACTCAGTAGAGACGCTCGTGTTGAATGTTTTGCGTATTTATTCCACCTTTGCTTGGCAATACAGACTTATTGTCAAGTTCGTGATTGATTTAAACACACAATTTGTTACGCTGAGCGCTTTGCAAATCGCTGATTTCTCAGATTTGGAAAATGTCTGAAACAAGTACATGGGATCACGGGTGCAGCTGGAAGCAGTTCATTGCTTATTGGCTGAAAGAACCGAAAGAGCTCGATCACAAAAACTGACGGGGTATCGTTAGAGCAAAGGGAACCCGTTCTGTAACATTTTGAGGGGACGGGGGGCACCGGCCGAGCCGTCCTGCTCCTTCAAGTCAAGTTGTGGTGCCCACAAGCTGCTTCGGGAGAATTAAGCCCTCTTGGGAAGTGGGGAGAGGTGAAGCACAAGAGTTAAAGCTCTCTCCACTCCATGTTTTTCTTGTTTTGTTGGGGGGGATAAATTCATTTGAATAACACCCACAAGGAAACGTGCTGCTTCTACATTCACTGTGAAGGATTTTCACACACACTCAACCACCCCGAGGAGCGTGTTGGCTTGGAGTTGGCTCGTAAGAGGAGGCTGGCACTGAAGCTCACAGGCCGAGCTTCAGCCACCTCGTTCCCAGTCAGGAAGGCACCTACGTCGTGACAATCCGTCATCGATCGACTTTGGTTGGTTGTCCCTCGTGCCAGCCACAGTCCCCACGCTCCAGCTCGGATTTTCAGCAGACAGTTATCCCCAGCAGGGGAAGGTAAAGCTGGTCTTGCTGACTACGGGAAGGTTTCCACATCACCCAAGTGTTTTCCCTCATATCCTGGGGGCACAGGGAGGCTGAAAGAGCTCAGGAACCCCCCAAGCTTTCAAGAGTGCCTCCTAAAGCCAGGATCTATAAATTCACTATTGGGATTAGGTGAGGGCAGCAAGTTCAGCACACACACACCCACCTGCGCTCGTACCTTGGAGACAGGAGCATCTTGCTCACACAGGAAAGCCAGGGGCGAAAGGGACCAGCCCCCTTTGAAAGTCCAGTCAGAGCAGAGCAAATACTCCCAGAGATATGAAAGAATGAAAACCAAACAAACCCTAAGATGCCCTCTTGGTTCTAAAATTTCATTGTTTCCAAGAATGAAAAGATTTGCTTTTGTTCCTTACACTGTAGCCCCTCAGTGTGCCAGACTCCAACTTAACCTGCCAGCTCTCAGGAGCTGAAAGGCTCATTACCTCCGCTTGCAGGAGAGTCTGGGTAAAAAAACCAATAAAAAACCAAACCAGTCAGCCTTACCCAGCAGTGTAACGATGATCTAACGCCAATTCCTTCCTCAGAAAAGATGAATGAGCAGGCACAGTGGGAAATTTATCTGCAAGTGCTGTAGCTGCTGAGGCTTCGCCCTCCATGCAAGTGGAGTGCAACGGGCAGACCGAACACAAGCGTCACAATACTGAAATCCAAGGAAATGTGAGAATTCCCCTCATCTAACATAGTTGTTTCTCCTTCCTAACATGCAGATCTTGCTACTTGCCCTTTTCCTTCTAATCTCAACCTCCTCAGGAAACCCCTACCTACACCAGGTTCTCTTTCCAGGCCACGGCTCAAGCAGCACGGCTTGTATCAGCGTGTTACAGGGACATGCGGTTTGTTTTACAAGTCAGAAGTCACTGAAATACACCAAAAGCCCTCAGCTTGTGGCATTTTCACCAAATAGGGACCACGGATTTTCTCTAGAAGAGGTAAAAGTCCAGCCTGGGGCATGACAAGATTTCCATTCTGTTCTGCTAAGAACAACTTTTCAGCTGCCAGCTGACAAAAAGGCAGGACATCAGGGAAAAACGCAAAGATTTCAAATCCTAAAGGCACCTGACTGAAGGAGCAATTCCTGGGGCGTGCCCAACCCTCCCAGCAGCGACAGCGAGGGCCGCCCGCGCTCAAAGGCAGAACAGGATCCCACAAAGCTCCCGCAACCTTTGGCTTCCACCAGCTCCCTCTCCTGAGGTGGGGGGCACCGAGAACCGCTCGGAGAAGGCGGAGGTGTCTGAGGTATGTGCAACATCTTTGTGGCGGTGTCACAGCGGCGCTGGAGGTGCGACGGCCTCTCCGGGGAGGGAGGTCTGGGCTACGCCTGGAGGCCCAGCACGCGCGCGGCGTTCAGGACATCGTCTCTCGTCAGGTAGCAGCCGCAGAGCTGGCGGTACCGCGCGCGGCCTGCGGACTGTCGCCTCTCGTCGGGTCGCAGCCGCAGAGCTGGCGGTACCCGGTGAAGGCTTCCCTCCCGTGCAGGACGCGCCAGTTGTCGACAAACAGCGCCTGCAGGAGAAGGGAAGAGGCCGTCGGGAGAAAAGCAGTCACGGCGGCGAGGGCCGCTCGCTGACAGGACAGGCCCCGCAGCTGGAGATCCCCAGAGACTGCAAAAGCGCGTAAAGGTACGGCACAGCCGTACGGCAGCACATGCAGCTACAGCCAGATGTTTCAGGGGATCTCAGACAGCTGGTTTACATCTGAGGCCAGTGTTTCTGCTCTGCTGCTAGCCACGAGTTAGAAACAGCTGGCAAAGCACTGAAACACACTTGAGGCTGTTTCTTTGCTTTCCCACCAAAGAACTTCCATTCCAACTTACCACAGAGTGACAGAATGATACGGGTTGGAAGGGACCTTGAAAGATCACCTGGTCCAACCTCAGTCCCACTGGTCATCATCTTCCTCTCTGGTGTCACTTCCCTCCCAGGCACCCTCAGGAACAGAGGGGCAGTGGTGCAGGGGCTCTGATATGATCACTCCCCTGCTGGACCCTTTCATTTTTGGGGCCCTGTAGGAACAGGACCCCTCCAGGTGGATGCACCCACGAGCCTCCCAACTCCATGTCCTACCTTGCCTGGCTTCAGTTTGACCCACAGTTCATTTTCTGGTCTCCTGAGCTCTGCGGTGAGCGTGCGGTGGGCGGCGTACCAGCGATGCACAACGTCATAAGGCACAGTGTTGATGACAGCACGATCATAGTTGTTGTATCTAGAAGCAAAAAAGAGTTAAGAGGCTGCCAGAACGGCTCCATGAATGCAGCCACAGGAGCTTGTAGGACCAGTCAGAATTTAGGGGAGGCTACAGAGATGACCAGGGAGGCTGTGCTGCAAGTGTAGGACTTTCAGGAGAACTGACAACACAGCAACAAGGAGGTTTGCCCTCAAGCATAAAACTGTTCTCACTGGTTTTCCACGGAAGGATGTGCCACAGCAACGGGCACGACCGAGGGCTGCTCAGAAAAGAAGCGCAAAGCAGCACTGGGCTGCCTCTGGCACCAAGCCAAGCCAGAACGTCAGAAAACAGCCCAAATTTCCCCTGGAAGGGGGCCAGTCTGAGTGCCTCCTGCTCCCAGTATGCCAGGCTAGTCTCTAGGGGATTTTTCAGAGGAGGGTCGAGTTCTACCACCTCCCAAATCGAGGGTGCGGAGCTGAAGGGAGGATGACAGGAGTGAAAACAATCAAAGTTCAGCAACGACACTCAAATCTCTGCATCGGTGGTTCTGACGCTTTTCTCTGAAGCAGCAACCTGCAGCCCAGGAGGAAATGCAGGGTTTTTCTGTGGTTTGACTCCTACCCCTCAAACACACGGTAATTTTTAATCTATGGCATCTTCTGGAAAACCACTACCTTTTGCCAAAAGGCCCTCTCCTCCCCTCGGTGTCACTGTTACCTGATCAGATAAAGCTCGTTGTTCCAGGGGTAGACGTTCAGCACCGGCCCGACTCCGATCATGTGGTTGTGACAGTCGCCCACGTTCTCAACATACTCGTGCTTCAAGGGCACCTTGCTGAGCAGCTCGAACTGATCAGGGGCCTGCCGGAGAACCTGCTCCGCCGCGTAGAAACCGTCCACCAGCAACGTCCGCCCGCCCGTGCCCTCGTGCTTCAGGCAGTGAAACACCTGGATGCTGCGTGGGCGAGAGAAGGCAGAGCACAAGAGGAAAGACCTCACTCGCCTGTCCCGTGGGGAGGAGGTGCTCCCTGCGGGTGTAGCTGGATGCCCCGCGCTCACCTGCGACACAGCTCCCTGTGCTAACGGAGACAGACCGGCAAGAAACGGCCGCCCCTGCGGTTTCTTCAGGCCCAACCTCATGTTTTGCTTTCTGGGAAGGCAACGAGCTCCCTGTGCTGCCCCTCAAATTGAGGGACACAGGTCTGCGAGATGTTAAGTGGTGCTGGGTCAGGCCCATGTCACCCGAAGTCCATCCGGGCAGCAGGATACGGAGGCTCAAAAGCATAAAACTAGCTTTCCTAGGACATCTCAGAGCAAGAGGAGAGTTCAAGAAATGCTGATTGTGCTGTTGAGGTCTCCAGGAACTACAGAGGGAGCCCAGGGCGACCCTCATTCAAAGACACAGAGACCCTGGCCTCCCACAGGCAGTCACAAGAAGCACCTCAAGGCAACACATCCCTGAGGAGAAGTTTTACCTACAGAGACAGCTCCTCCCTAGGGAGAGGCTATCCAGCAGCTTCTGTCCTTCTGTTACTTCTCCGAAGCTTCTTTCCCCCCATCCAAGCGAGGCAGGAATTGCACTGGCAGGAACAAACACCCAGGAGCTGCCTCGAGCCACCTACTCCCACCTTTTGGTGTCTGACCTCACTTGTCAGAAAATTAACTGCGACCTTCTGGGAAAGCCTTTTATCTCCTGATCTCCCTTCAGGGCCTCTCAACCCAGTCCCACAGCTCCACGCTCACGGGCACCTTTTCCCCCCGGGTGTTCGAACCCTCCTGCTCGCAACCGTTTCAGGATGATTTTACAAAGTCAGTCCCACAAAGCAAGTTTCTCAGAGGGAACCACCTCCTCCTGCAGCTCTGGGCACTGAGAAAGTCTCTTCTGCAGGCAGGCTCTTCGGTACGTGATGCGTTGTAGGCTTTCTCATAGCTTGGGGAGTTTCTATCCTCTACCCTTTGCAATAATTTTAACTGGAGTCTTGTCAGATGGGGCTGATTTCAGCCAAAGCAGACATTGGGAAGGACACATCTGTCTTGAAAAACACCTCGGTTCCTTTAGAAGCAGGTCACAGACTGTTTCAAGTGTTTTGGAAGCAAGTCTGAAACAGCCTGGAAAGAAGGGATTTCTGGCAGAGATGGGGGCACAGGAAAGCCAGAAATTCACGTTCTTCCAGCACAACTATGGGTTTTGCAGAATCACAAGCACTAATGGATAGCACTGCTAATTTAGCCCATACTGTCACTGCCTGACATACCTCACTCAGCTGCAGATAAGAATACACCCACCTGAAGGGAACCCTTCCAAGTGGAAAAGAAAGGTATAAAAACAGCTAAATGAGCTTTATAGTTCCAGCACTGAGCAGGTTAATCAAAGGTCTTTTGTAGGCTGAGGTTCTGACTTTTACTTTTAATTTATATATTTATTTACTTCAGTTTGGGGAAGATTTTGCGAGCTCCTGAAACGAGTCAGCCAAGCAGGTCACGAACGCACGTGGGTCCTGCAGTCAGGTGTCCCGTGACAACGGGGAAATCAAGCCCAAGTCCCCTCCATTTCACTGACCCGCGGTGTGTGCTGCTGCCTTTCTTCCTCCAGCTGTGTATCAACCTCACAGCCCAGAGGACGCACCACAAAAGCGGTTTGCAAACTCGCATTTGGGAAACTATCGTGTAGCTACAAAGTGCTTTTAAAAACCCAGGCAGGCGTGAACTTGGAAGGGCTGGGGAAGCCTGGGTTTTGACTCCCTGCAGGGCTGCACCACCGTCAAAACGCGGCAGGATTAACTCAAAGCAAAATGTTTTTGAAAGTTTTCTGCGCTGGCTGCAGGAGGGGCTGGGCCTTGCTAGACATACCCGAGCGACAAATCAATTCAGCTGCTCGTTTCTGTGAGGCTGAACGCTGTGTGCCCCTTCGGAGATCCATTTCAGCAGAGCCTGTGAGCCAGCAAAGGCACCTACCCGCAGGGCTCCTGGAAGTAGGTGGTGTCGGTGTGCCGATCCAGAGCCAGCTTGGTATAGGCTGTGTCTCCCCGAGAGAAGTCGGAGGTGAAGTACCACATCCTCCCGTAAATGGTCTCCCTGCAAGAGAGGCGGGCGGTTATCACACGAGCCAGACCAGGGTGCTGGTGAAGCAGATCTTGTCGTGTGTCTGAGGTTACTCCCCTCCATCCTATGTAGAGAGACAGAGCAACCTCACAAAATTCATGTTGTCAAGAGAGAGCATTTCAGATGGCTCCTCTAGTATTCAGCATCGCTCTTTTCTCCCTGAGGAGACCACTGGCAATGTCTGGCCTCCCCTCACACCAAACATCAGCCCCAGTCAAACCAAGGGAGTCCCTGAGGGGCAGGAGGAGCTGCCAGAGCAGCCAGACCTCGCTGGCACCACCTGCTGCACCGATGCCCAATAATCCCATCTCTTGGCATTTCAGATGGCTCCTCTAGTATTCAGCATCGCTCTTTTCTCCCTGAGGAGACCACTGGCAATGTCTGGCCTCCCCTCACACCAAACATCAGCCCCAGTCAAACCAAGGGAGTCCCTGAGGGGCAGGAGGAGCTGCCAGAGCAGCCAGACCTCGCTGGCACCACCTGCTGCACCGATGCCCAATAATCCCATCTCTTGTTCTCACTCCCCTCCCCCCCACAACCTGCACCGAAGGGAACAAACAGAAGGCAGGAACAAACAGTTCTCGGGGGCTACAGAGTGAGGATGCCTGGCCAGATGCTCCTTGGAGCCCCTCATTTCTATTTGGGGTGACTATTTCTTAAAAGAAATCCCTCCTCTTCCAATGGCCCAAGGCAAGTTAAACCGTTTCAGTAGCTTGGATAAAACTTGGGACTCAAACCCTGGCTTGCCACGCTCCTGGTGCGTTTTAAACAAACGCTTTTCTCAGTATTTTTTTTCTTTAGCAAGAGCTACAAATTGTTTTTGATCTCCCTGGCTCCCAGGGCCAGGGCTGCCCTCCCGACCTCTCAAGTCCTAACAGGAAACATCTCTCCTCGCACAGCTCCAGTCTTCCCAGACAGGGCCCTTGCTCCAGCGTTCCTCTCTGCGCGCAGTCCCACTGTCACAAGAGTCACCGCACACTCCTGAGGTGGCTCCACACATTCACAAGCTTCTGAGCAACTCCAGGCTCTCCCCTATAAAGAGGTCGGGTCCTGCAGGGCCAAGCTCCACCTCGGTCCAAGTGGAGCAGCCAGAGGCTGTCGAAGACTCAGACCTTTTGTTTGTGAGCCGGGCGACGCTGCACAACATGCGGGGTAAGGCAGCACCTCTCCGAAGAGGAGCAAAAAACCAGTCCGCCCTTCACAGCTCCTCTTCCCAGGGCAGCCCTAGTTACCTGATTAAGCTGATCCTTTCTGCCAAGATTTCCGTGTCCTCTTTGGTGGGAGCGACGTTCTCTACAAAAGCGATCCCGTACAACAGGAAGTTTTGCAGGAACTCCTTCAGCCCCTCGTCCGTCTCCAGGAAACTCCGGCAGTCGACAGACGGGACCTGGGCTTGCCCGTAGCTTTTTTTCATTCCAGAGGATCCGCGGGTGCATGACCTGCTGCTTCTGCCCCTCGTAGCTGTTCTTCACCAGCCACTCTAGCCCATATCGCGTCACATGCCCGTCCGGCCCTTGGGCAAGGAAAAAGGGTCACCAAGATCAGTCTGGGACAGTCCTCACCCTTTCCATTTCGTGGCAGACTCTTTGCACCCCGCTGCTATCCAAAATATTATCTGGTTAAGACTCGCAAGTCTCAAAAAGCACCGTCATTGCTGCAACGTCTCCCGTCTCAGAGTTAAGTGTTTCAGCTTCAGCGGCTTTGTTTTCTGTTCTCCGAGGAGAAGTAAAGCACTGGAGACAAGCCCATAAATAAAGGTAAGCTACAACAGAAGGAAGAAAGCAGATGGGAAAACAAGGAGAAAAGACAGAAGATGTGAATTCCGACCAGGCATACCAGCTCAGATAGGAGAGGATAAGGAAAAGAAATCATTTCTTGAGGGAGGAAAAACAGACACAAATTTAAGACTGCGGTGTGTTTACAGTAACAGCACTGCTCAGTGTTTAAAATCTGCTTATGGACGAACCTCTTCCCCAAACAGCTCCTGATTCGGAGACAAGGCTGCCCCTCTCCTCACAAACCCAAAGCACAAAACCCGCGGGGCACAGCAACTTTGTGACTCACACGTGAGGAAGAGTGTGGTCTCGTCCACTCGAACAGCCTTAGGCTTGATGCCCAGGTCCACGCTGGCCGTGTCCAAGCTGCGCTGGTTGGTCTTGGCGTTGTAGCAGGAAGCAGAGCGGCAGTGGTCCCGCAGCCACACGAAATCGAAGCGCATCAGCGTGTCGGCATACCGCAGCTCTGCAACGGAGAACAGGCATCGGCACGACCGGCGAGAGGAAGGAAAGGCAAGAACCAAAGTGGAGAGCCCACAAGGTACGACTTAACTCATAGGAGATGCAGAGGCTGTCACAACTTAGCGCCTCTTTACGTAATTAAGCCAGCTCATCATGTAATTAAGACGAGGTCTGGCTGGCAGCGACCTCTCTGTGCTCTCCCTTCTTACCAAGCCTATGGGTAACCTCCTCCTGCAACAGGCAGGAACGTGTTTAACACACACACTTACCTCTGTGGTCTCTCCTCAACACGCAGCAAACTCGGAGCTGTACAGCAGCTGCTGTGTTACACAGCTGCAGACCCCAGGAAAGGAACGCGCAGAGGAGCCAACCCAATAACCACACCAACACCCGAACGTTACGGACGATGTCAAGCCCCTGAGGCCAAGCTTTGCCATCCATCAGGCATTCAGCAAAGCCTCTCCTCCTCCTTCCCCCCTGGCACAGCCTAGAAAGACTCAAAGCCCTTCAGAAGCAACAGCAGAGCCCTTCTAGTCACACTCACACCCGACACACCTACCCAGGTGGTCACCATGGAGCCGCCAGGCGCACTTGAGGGACTCGGGGGCGGTGTGATGCCAGCGAGGTGCTGCGGCGAGGACGGTCCTTCTGGCGCGGGGCAGCCACGGCGAGCGACGGCGAGGGCTTCCACTGGGCCAGCGCGGTGCCTCGAGCAGGCACGCCAGCCTCCTGCACCACATCCTGAGCAGCCGGGAGAGAGAGCGGGGAAAAGAACAAGGTGAGAACCAGCTCATCGAGGGGGAAGAAAAGAAGAGGGTACAACGACCGGCAGCCTGGCCCGAGGAGTTGTCCACC